TTCCTTAGGGTGGTGCCAGTCTCATCCTCTTCACCTTCCCATGCTCATTCTGGGGGCTAAGAAAATGCTTATGTCCCCGAGCGCGGCCTTCGCCATACCATTCCATCACAATAGTGGGTTGAAGGGATGAATGGATTGGTAGATAGATAAATACTCACACATGGTATAAAGCAAATGTTGACCTAGCAGTTTCCTTAAGGAAATATTCAACAAAAGCATCATGCCATCCCCCCTCTGAAGTGGTACCATATCATCTAACTCCTAGACCAACATATCCATACAAAATTGGAATAGTTTTTTCATGTATTATCTCAAGATAACCTCTCCCACCCCAGCAAAAACTTCATTAAGAATGATTAAGGCTTGAAGACAGCGAGCTGAAGTTCTTGAATATCTATGGACAACCAGATGCCTCCAGAGGCAGCTCAGCGCTAGTGAGCTACTCCTAGAAATCCATGTGTCATTGTCCTCAGCCTTGGAGACAGGACCACAAGGAATTCTTACATAAATTAGTGAGGTAAGAAATGGTTTTGTTATAATGAGCCTATGTCTTATGGGTCTGGTTGATCTCTCAGGCAGTGGTGGGCTGCATGCAGACAAACAAGCTGTTACTATATTCCTGCAAATTGGACACATCATATGTAACAGTTTTCTGGGCAGGAAATTACAAAAATGGCCATTTCTAGGTGAGGTAGTTTTCATCCTGGCTCAGCCACTGGGACTGATGGACTGATTCAGTAATTGCCTACATGAGAAATTACATATTGGACTAATTCAGAAGATACAACTGGAGCAGAACATAGTAACCATAGTAGTGACTCACATGCCTTAGTGTCCTGTGCTGAACTTCTGGTTGCCAGAACCAAGAAGCTTATATCAGTCAAAAGATAGATAAGTATTCTTCAATACTTATAGATAAAATCAGTCAAAAGATAAATGAATTATCCTAGTGGCTTTATAGACACATTTGTATCTTATATTGGTAATAAGAGTTTTCCCCTCCACATTTAACTGAGATGTCTTAATTATTTAGGAAAACTGATTTGGTGTGTTTGGACTTTGTTTTAGTGATTAACAATCAGATGGGTTGCTAACATGGTACTAGATGGTTTTATTATTTGATAGTACAATATTGTCACAAATAATGTCACAGTGGTACAAATGAGAAGGAGTATCTAGATGAACAAACAAAAATTAGCATCCATCTTAGTGGAATAGGACATGAGAAACAAGATTTGTGTGCCTTTTTTTTTTTCAATAAAGCTTAGGCAATGAAAGCAAGATCCTATGTCATGGTACAGTGTTCATCTTGAACAAGCCCCACTCAGAAGTTGTATAATCAATGGATTAAGAACACCTTGATCCACCAGAAGGATTATGAGCAATGGGTCAGGAGAACAAATGGTAAGTTCTTATTTTATTTCTGACCATCAGTCTCCCATAGTTTTGTTTTTCTTTGGTTGGATTCTTCCTGTTAGCTCCTTCATGCAATTCCCCTTCTCCACTTGCTATTCAGAGGAGAAAGCAAGGATGGCATTTGGGAAGGGGCAGAACAGATCCTTTTTTCCAGGCAAAGGAAAGGGAATCCTTTTTTTCCCCCTTCCCCATCCTTCCCTCTCTTTGAATGGCCATCAAATCATTCCTATATA